AAGTTTTACACAGTGCTTCAATGTCACCATGATGCCAGTAAAAAGTGACAAGATTAAAAACACGTCTAAAATAATAGTATATAAGGAGTATATTCATGGTTTTAAAATAAGTCATAGTTTTATGAATTGCCTTTGACACATAATTTTTTATCATTTCATGTTTGCATTTAGATAGATTGACAGTGATAATTTGAATATTATTTTTATACCTGAATGATTCAAGTCTATCCTGATTATTGTGAATATTGCCAAATAAAAATCTGGCCTCTGCTCGTAACAACTGTAATTAGCAAATACTATTACAGGATGTGAAAAAACAGCCACAGGCTTGCTGAACAACCAATGAAAAAAAAGAATTTATTTTATCTGCAAGAGCAGGGTATTTTTTTTATTCCTACATATGTGGAACAGTAAATTTATAAAACAATATTATTGTTTGCAACACAAACCTACAGCTGATAATTATCTTTCCAAGAATCTAAGTTGTGTTATACAAACTCCTATATAAGCTGCTGTTGGCTTCATCTGTAATTGTTTTGCCAATATTGTTTTTTCAACATTTGCTTCCTTGCACCCAGCTTTTCTCTTCAGCTATTTTGGCTCACTGAGGTAACTTTTAAGTTACAGCTGCCAGGGTTCTCGTTAATGCACAAACTAATCTATTTTCTGGTTAGAATTGATTGGCGTGAAGAAGACTGAGGCTGTTCCACTTAAATGACTGTCGTCCTCCCTGAATGGTTCTACACAAAAAAATAACTAAGTTGTCAAGGTTTTGGAAATAACTGCATTTCTTCTTTTTTGAGCATTCTCGTTTCTTAAGCTTATGATCTTTCCAACATAAATAGCAGTTAAAAAGGTTTCTTCTAATATGTGCCTCTCCATATTAGAACTGCACTTTTTCAAGTAATTATTATTTTAATGAAAGCAGCGGTTTTATTAGACTATGAAACTAACAAGTACCAAGAAGAGCAGCAGAAGCAACAACTTTGCTTTTTATACCTAGGGAAGAAAACAAAAGGAAGAAAAAGGGAAAGGAGATTAGTGAGAGTAAATCTGTAATACTAGCTATTAAATTAAGGAGATTATATAAGGAGATAAGTCAGAGTGATTCTGTAATACTAGCTATTAAATTGAGGCTGAAATAAAGTCATAGGATGACAACAAAATGCAAAACATTTTCCTATTTGTGTAAGAATGCTCTTCTCTTGCTCAATGCTAAGCATCATTTTTAATAGATTATTATACACTTAATGCTGTATCTTTGTTGGGTCAAACACAGCCAGAGAAATTGTTTTCTAACCGTTTGGAAACTAGTTTGGGGGACCTTAATATCCAAATTAGTCAGAGTAAAAATGATATAACTTTAAGTACACATTTACACCAGGCAGAGGCTCTTCTGTACTGCAATGTTCACATGTAAAGGTTTAGTATGTATCAAATGTATATCATGCACAATTTACCTTTACTTATTATAACGGTTGTGTCTATGTCTGGAGCATGATGTAGCCATGATGTATTACATATTGTATGTATCAAGGTAGAGATGTGTACTTTGTAGTGCTCTAAAATCAATATTGTTCAGTGTTGCCTTTTGGCAACATTATAAAATGATCACTAGACAAATGTTTGTTGCCTTAAAACAATTAATTCCCAGACCGCCATGGTGAGATCAGAGGTGAATTATATTTAGAAAGTGAAGCATAATTTATGCAGATCATGATCTCACTTTACCTTTAGAAAGACTATTAATACTCACCAATACTAAGGTTTGGCCCATAACTGCTGAACTTCATTGCAATTTCAGTTGCCAAAAATTTTTGCCAACTTGCCATTGCGACAAGAATGGTGAAGCTTAGTGCACTGGTTTGCTATGTACATCAAAGCCATGATGTCTATGTAAAGTATACATTCTTGGCAGCCTTATGAATACCATGATACAAAATCTAGTGCATACTTTTAGTATATATAAAAGACACTTTCTTAAAGTATGTATTTTTGGTTGGATACTATTTTGTTTATACTGTGATGTAGACATTTTGTATGATCAAAGTACAACAATCAGACTGTGCTACCAAGTCTTCAACATGAAATGCAGTATTACCAATCATTAGTCATCAATTATAACTGTCCTGTTTTGTTAGAGATTTTGAAAGTCAGATTAGAAATGTTCTCACATTCATGTGTTCAAATGTCCTGTTAATGATATTTAACAGTCAGGAATGCCCAGTTAGTATTGTCAGGCAACCAAAATTCTGGATTTTGTTCTTGAATGTTAGAACGTAAGTATTAAGACAAACTTCATACAAATCCTGCTTCAACTGATATGGATCTCCTGTACAGCTACAAACCCCAAATGAAGTCTACAAATTAATCCCCATATCAAGGAGTGTGGCTATGTGATGTTGTGATGCCATTAAGGTGATCCTAAATATCTTACATAATGTATCAGTCTTGATGTGTAGATAATTCTTTGTCATCACTGTATTTATTTAGTTGTAGGCCAGTCTTGACGTCCACGACATGATAATCTTTCTGGAAGGAAAAAGTGATATAAATAAGTACTTTCTGTAAGTACAGCAGAAGCCGTCTTAACAGACCCTCTCATCAGTGCATCGCTCTACTTACACCACCTTCACAATGATTTCTGTCTGGCATGGCAGGGCATTTATGAGCTTGAATTTTAGCGGATAAAATTATTTAGGCACCCTATCTAAGGATCAACTGTGAGCACAATGCCAACAATGGCAAAAATGATACCCGATTAGGAGTGAAACCCTCATAAAAACCATACCCCTTATTTGAGACTGGAACATAACCTATCCCTACCCCCCACCCCCCCGGTTTTTTTTTCTGCAATTTTTCTAAAAAAAGAAAATGATAAATTCAGGAAGCACTTAAGATTTCTTGAGAACTAGTTTAAAGCAGTACATGCATTCTCAATCGAATTGGAATTTGGAAAGGTTGGTTTTTGAGGGGAGGGGAAAACCAGGGTAGCCAGAGAAAAAACCTCTCAGAGCAAAAGGTGAAAACTATTAAAAACAACAAATCCACCCACATACATACATCGATGCCGGGATTTGAACCCGGGCTACACTGGTGGGAGGCAAGTGCTGTCAATATTTATATGTTGCTGGGCAAGCTCCCAAAAAGCTACGGTCAAACAGGCAACAAAAACGTGCAACTTGTTTAGCAACATTGCTGCAAAACAAGTTGAATAGTTGTGCATTTAACCTCCAATGTTAAAACCTTTTCACAACCTGATTTCTGAGTGATGTGGTAAAACACTTAACATCGCTATTCAATAGACCATTTTACAATTGTGGACTTAGTACCCTAGCCTTCGAGTGAATGTGAAGCTGAGGTTGACCTTGTTTTGAAACAAACCTCCTCTCCTTCTTATGGAAATTGTCCTTGAAAAATATTAGTTAGCATAAGAATAACTTGATTTACATAATAAAGCAGAAAGATTTGTTTCAAAACAAGGTCAACTCCAACCTTCTTTCCATCCATATCTTTAAAATGGCCCATTCGTTTTGCAGCAATGTTGCAAAACAAGTTGCACGTTTTTGTTGCCCGTTTTATCGTACCTTAAGCGGCCATCTAACCCGTACACCTCTACGTTTATGAGGAAAATTGAGTCTTGTTTCCGTTTCCATGATGTCCTGAACCTGGCAAAGGTCTACGTACTGATTTCACTGACGTGAGCGTTTGGTTAATATTTGTATATTCAGCCCTCTAGTGCCAAAATCCTTTAGTTATAACAAACGCTCTTATCTTTCGGTCATGCTTGCCTCCTTGTAAATACTGTGCAAACGATAACGTCACGATGAAGCCAATTTTGATCTTCTCAGCTTTCGTAACGCTATACCGCTTCACGTCAGCTCGGTCACGTTCCGCCTCACGCAACACTTGTAAGTGTAATCGTCATCATCATCATTATCATCGTCATATTCCGCAACACTTACCAAGAGTGTGTACTCGCTTGTTAATCTGAATTTTCACATCACCCAACTGGATCATTGTAACCTACGCGTCTTGCTTTTGTTTCGACGAGGCTGATACTGCAGCAAACGAATACGATGACTCCGACAATCCAAAATGGGTCCACAATGGTACAGAAAATGCACTGCTAACCAATTTGCAGATCTTCGTGTTAAGTTGCAGGAGACAAGTGAAGAGGATTCCACTGCTGCATTATCGAGCGCTTGAAAACAAATAGTGAAAGGTGCTATTGAGCCACTGAGCACAATATGCGCGCCGTTCTTTCGTTCAGGTTGATACTTCGCTTTGAAGTTTGAGTTATAAACGACAAGAAAATTCTCGGCTTGCTATATATCTTTCAGCTTTGGATCCTGCTAGCGAGAATCTGCTTATCATTCACCTTGATGGTGAACTTCTACCACTTATCGATAGTGCCAGAGAATAATTTTCGTCGTCATTGAATTCTTTGTCCAAAAGTTTACCACTATTGGGTCTTACTTACCCTGTCTCATCTCCACCTGAGTTAAGGGTTCCTGCATTCAGTTCAATGTAACACTCCGCCATATTGCACAATTCACCAGGCAGTCCAATCTGAGTTGTCATTGTAAATTCGTCCAATAAATATATCTCTGATAATCAAGAACGGCAGAAGTCATCGGCGCTCTTGATCTAGATCCGCTCGTAACTTTCTTCGTTGGCTGTAACTGGATTATTCCCCACTAAATTATCAAATTGAAAGTGGCTCTAGTAATCCTTATGCTAGAGAAGCGTCGCCTGGTTTCTACAGTGTCTTTTATTTTCCTTTAAGCAAACCACGGTTCGTGTCAAAACTCGCTGAAAGAACCGTTTTTTAACCAGTGGTATAGCTAAGTTAGTGAGACGGATGGCTTGACGGACGCTTCCATCTACACCACCCTACCCCTTGCTCCGTCAGCCACAGTTCGAATGTTTCAACTATTACTTTATTTATTGTTATTATTAATAATCATTAACAAAGTGCTTTTTCCTTTCCAGTTGCCATGAACGGGAAAGTACATATCGGCTTTGCATTGTTCGGACTTGGACGCGCGGGCATGATCCATGCTAATAATATAATAAGAAACCCGCAAGCGAGGTTGAAGTACATTGTGGATATTGACGAAAACAAAGCCAAGGAATTCGTGGAATCGAATCTGTTGGACACTAAAGTTGTTCCTCCATCCGAGGTGGAGACTGTGTTAAATGATCCAAGTGTTACCGCCGCTGTAATTACCACTCCAACCCATCTTCACGAAGACCTCGTTGTCAGCTCCTTGAAGGCGGGAAAAGCTGTCCTTTGTGAGAAACCAGTTGCTACTACCATGGAAGCCATAGGTTTGTATTTTCGTTTGGTATCAGACCGCGGGGGTACTCAACAAAGTTTTATAAAGGGCGAGACTCCGCTCTGAGAGGTTCAACCCCTCACGCTTTTATGGACTATTTTTGACAGAAAACGGGTACCCCTGTCGTCCGTTACCTACTATTGACAAACATTTGCCATATTCAGATAACTTTACGAACTTTGGATCTCTTTAAAAGAACAGTATCCCGTTACTGCGCATGCACCAAACTTTGATTTTTGGACAGGATATCGCGAAATCAAAAGATGCGAGGAGAGTAAGAGAACCTTGAAAAATCCGTTTGCATCGCGCTTGACCGGGTTCAATACGACACTAAAACTTCTCAGGATTACAGATCAATGATATATTGTTCCTGTTAAGTTTCGATTTGGGCAAAATCTGGATTTTTTGGCGTTACTTTTTTGCTGTTGGCCGGAGGACCAAAAGATTGGAAGCACTTTGATGCCGATTGAAGGCTTATTTCTTCTGCTAGCTTCCATACAAGCTCGGATAATTGTGAAAGGAATACGCAGAAATGAAACGGCAACAATAAAGACTGTAAGAAAGAAACCATTGAGACATTGATGTGACTGAGGAGATCTTGTGGAGGGGAGCTTCGTAAAGCAGAATGTTTTGCAACGACGCGTTAGTAAACTTTTTTAAATGAATCTCCCTAACGGCCGACAAAATCAAACAAACAGGCGCTACATGTTTAGAAAAACTAGTGCCATGAAATCATAATATAATTTTTGACTAACCTCTCTGATGATTCATAGCGTTGAGATTGCATTTTTATTTATGTCTTTCAAACGTTTGAGGCTAGAACGCGAGAAAATCAGGCAGATATTACTAGACTTGGAACAACTGACCTCTGACGCGAGTTTCAAATTTTAAAGCGAGCGGAACGAGATTTTCGGGTCAGCTAGCGATAAAATCGCGATAAGTCTTCGAACCGCGAGCCAAATTTTTATATAAGAAGGAAGACTTCTTTGAAAGTCTAAAATATTACTTGAGAATATAAACAACAAATCTCTGTCGGCGGTGCGGTCCGGAAGGAAATCTTGTCGAGTCAATATGACAGTTCTATTGTCTTTTGAAGAAAAAACAGATGACGCTCGCGCGTGCGCATAATCGGGACACTGTCCCTTTAAGTGCTCAGGGGCTGAAAATTCACTGTCTTTCAAGTATGAATAAATCGTAAAACCAGAGCGTTTTCTGGACTTTTTCAAAGTCATAAAATGCATCTGCTAGCCTGAGTGCCTTTTAGCAGACCGAAATGACAGATTTACCCACGCTTTCTATACACTGTACTACAACTTGTGAAATCCCTGCCCTTTCATATAGAGTGTTTTCACATGACGTCACGGCGGCCATATTGGTGTCCCAAAACAATGAAACGGCGGCCATGTTGGTGTCCCAAACCAGTCCTCTGGGAGTTGAACTCTTTTCTTATGCAAACGCTTTCTTTTGTTCCAATAAATTTGCATAGATGCTGGCCACGTGAGTGAAAACACTCTATAGTTGAAGTATAAAAAAAAGTACCCCCTTAGGTCCCCTCTTAAGCCATTATAGGGAGTTCACCCCCACCCCTCCCCCCCGTATCCAAAGGTGTGATCTACACCTTTTCACCTCCATCCTCTCAACTTTTCTGTCATTTATTTTCAGAGCGTTGTTACCTAGATGCAGAAAGCCGGAACATTCCATTGTTGTGTGCCTTTAATCGACGATTCGATCCCACCATCGCTTCAGTGGCCAACAAAGTGAGGAACGGCGACATTGGTAAAGTTCATATAATCAAGACCACAAGTCGCGACTCCCCCATGCCTCCAATAGATTTCCTAAAGATTTCAGGAGGGATGTTCCACGACTGCTGCGTTCATGATGTTGATGTGATCTGCTGGATCATGGGGGAGGCTCCCCTTTCAGTGTACTGTGTGGCACACGCCTTTCATTCGGAAATAGGAGCCCTCAATGATGTTGATACCGTGGGTGTGGTCATGAAATTTCCAAGTGGTGCTATTGGCCAGATCGATTTGTCGCGCCATGCGGTGTATGGCTACGATCAACGCGTTGAAGTATTTGGTGCAGATGGTATGCTTAGTAGCGACAATGTGTCAGCTTTTTCCTCTCGTCATTTTAACTCGAGCGGGTACTCTGAACCTCCATTAAAGGATTCGTTTCCCCAGAGATACGCCGAGGCGTATGTTCTAGAGGTGGAGCATTTAATTAATGCGATAAAAAAGAAGGAAATGTTAAGTATTTCTAAAGATGATGTGCTTCGATCATGGCATATAGTTGATGCTATTGAGAAGTCTTTCCGTAGCGGTAGCCCAGTCTCTTTGAGCCTTTAGTTAATAGTCAAAAAAAAAAAAAGCCTAAAATTTCGTCTGAATAGAGTACGTTATAATAGCCGAGTAGGTCGCCGAGTAGAGGATAAGAGTAAGCAACCTCGTTCCCAGGATTTTCTCCTACCCGCCCTACCGAGCGAGAGAGAGGGCGGGTAAGAGAGAACCCTGGGAACGAGGTTGAAGAGTAAGTAAATTAAAAATTACGGTTATCTAATTTAATTAAGATTTATATTCCAACGAATTGAATAAATGAGTGAGTGAATTAACTGAGAAATTCACTGAAATTATCACTAAACGCAGGAGCTGGCTCCTGTTAAAAGCTGATAAATCGGTTCTGTTTTGTCACGTTCGAGGTCTGTGAAAAGGTTTCCGCGTAATGATTACATATAAGCCAGTGTTGGACTTGATGACTACCCATGAACATTTCACGGTAACGTGAAAAAATGTTAGCGTGATTAGCTGTGATTGTTCTAGCTGTACTTTCAACTTGAGAGACATATGCGATAAATGATTCTTGTATATTAGCATTTTCAAACCAATAGAGAATCATTCTCTTGTCTTGTCTGAGTTACAATGAATAGTCCTTCACATGCACTGCATAAGGCGGTTAAAAGTAAGCAATGATTCTAACTGACTACCAATTAAATTTAGGTGGTTTTGCAATTTTACTGTAATTCTTTATAAATAGTTGTGCAAATAAGGCTTGTTCGTTTGTTGCTGTTGTTGTTGTCTTTGTTATGCCATGACTGAAGTAAACACAGAAGCCGACAAGGAGGCTTCCAGCTTGCTTTCTTGCCTCTTGCTGAAATTTCGGGTAGCTGACAGCACTTGACCCCGGGGAGTGGAGAATTCGGCCTTTGCCTGGTTGTGGGGGGAAGGGGGGGGGTGAATTTGAATTGGAAGTGTCATTCCTTCCCTCGCATGCAGCCGTTTCTGTGTCGTCACGCAAGGCATCCCCATAGTTGTCTCCTACGCTGGGGACAGTCACGCAGTAAACATTGCGTGATTCCGGCGCGGCCCTAGTGGTTACGAAGAAGATTATTTTTACTTTGAGACGTCCAGAAAATTCACCATCAATTAAGCCATACTCTAAATGCAGAGTTTACTTTCGAAATATTGGTGACACAAAAATATATATCTGCCTGGATTTGCAAAAAGGTACCTCCAGGATTTTTTAGTAACAGTCTCATTTGAGACTTGTTCAGTACTTGACCATTTTTTGTTTGTTTTTTGTTTTTTTTTGCTTTGTTTTGTTTTGTTTTTCATCTTTTTAGTACAAAAATCCCCTAACAAACTGCAGTAGAAAAAAACAAGGGTTAAATATGCTGTTTATATGCTGTTAAATATGCTGTGTGGAAACATTGTGCCTGGTTGGTTGTGGATAGTTTTATCAGTGCCGCGAACTTGGTTAATTGTGTGATTTCCTGAAGTTGTTGACAGACGGATTTCAGGTATGTCGTGGCGCTCGTGTTATAAGAATATTAGGGCCATTTATACGAGGAAAAATAAGACGCGTCTTAAATAGGACGCGAACTGTACCATTAACACGAGCATGTCTTATCTAATAAGACGCGTCTTAGGTAAGCCGCGTCTTATTTTTCCTCGTATAAATGGCCCTATTGTGTACAAGCATCATGAAGCATAAAAACGCTTTGTGAGTGTTTAGTTAAAGTAGTTGTGCCTTAGACAACCGATTGTGGGGTCAAGAAGGGCGGATTCTAGGTCTGTTTCAGTCGGGCATCTCGCTAGGAGCCTCATAGTTTGAGAGAGTAAAAGGTCATTATTTCTATGCTTTTAAATGTTGTTCATTTCGTTACAAATCTGTCGCTTATGCCAAGAGCAACTTTTCGTGTGTTGCCAGCGATTTATTTGTCCGTTTGAAGCCCTAACTAGCGACTTTCAACCGCTTTTTATTCACCTCAAGGGTTAAATTGTTAAAACGCACTTGAAATTTCTGTAGGTACCTAGCTGTACCTTTTTATAAATTCAGACATATCTATTCTCGCTTTGAAATCAGCCTTGCTTCTTTTTGTTGTACAAGCTGTAAAGCATTTTCTTCTTTGGGAGGGGTGTTTGACAGTCAAATCCGGCGCTATAGTACATTTGACCACAAAATTGGTACCAATGTAACGGGAATTTGAACAGGCAGTATCTTAAAAAGTTCAAAAGCCCGGGGGTTGCCTGGTTTGAACCGGGGTCTAATTTCTACCCCCAACATAGCGTACATTCAACTTGTCTACGTATATATGTACAAATGTAGCCGCACCTCCCCTATCACAGCAAAAATCTGGCCACAAAACCACAAACTGATTTACGCCTGATTGGCTTTTTTCTTGCAACACAATACTGGTGTTCCAGGGACGGACCATTAGAAAAGTTGTGGGAGAGGGGTGGGGAATTTTCGAGTCGCAGGAATTTTTTTTTCGTTATCAAATTCCTTGTATGAATTTTTCAGGCCGTAGCATGAATATTTTGTAGGGTTAATTGGCGTGCATGAATTTTTTGTCATTTAAATTTCCCTTGCGCGAACATTTTTTTTTGTACTTCGCCCCCCCTCCCCTCCCCCCGCCCCCGCTTCACTGATAAGTTTTCAAATGGTCCGTCCCTTGACTGTATAACATAGCCTCCCACGCAGACGTTCTTAGCGGTGCGTCACGCGTTCCTTCCGTTCGCGGACTACAAATGCCTAACCCGCAGTTTCAATACATACCAGTTCCAAGTTATTTCATGCAAATAAGTGGCGGCCTATTTCCTTCAAGTGCCTGCTGTGCTATTGCAGGCAGAGGCTACACATCAGCTGACCTTGAGTGATCTTTGAAGATTCAAATGTGATGTTATCTTTGCTTTTTGTTTCAAACTTTTGATGCACATCGGGACGAAATGCCACGCATTCAACCGTCAATTGTAGATTCATTAGCATAATTGTCACACCACATGGTGGTTGTTTCAATAGACGTTTGACAATACACGCGGTAAGTTCAGTGTGATCTGAATTCTCCTTTAACTCGGTTATATATGTAGTTATTATAAAATACAGTCTCTCTGTGACAACGAAAACTTAATTTGTATGAACTGACAGGGGTACTTCGCTTCGCACTCTCTTCTGGATCAATCAAGGGCATTTTACTCTCTGACTGGTAGCCATTGCAAAGTAAGTGATGTTCTATTTCGTTTTCCCTGTAGCCTAAGAAAACAGCCCACATTTCGCGGCACTACCAATGGTTTATTCCGTGGGGAATCCAGTGGGAAAATGTCGGCTGTTTTCTCAGGCTATTTCCCCCGGTGTACCGGCTAAAATAACGCATAAATTTAAGTGATCTGAAATCTATAGTTAGCTTACTGTTTGTGTAACGAAATGGTGACGAGTGAGCCCCGGATCTTCAACTTTCGAAATTCACATTTTACGAACCGTTTAGGTCGACCCAAATTACGAAGTTCGCTCTTTAGTTAAACAGCTGACAGAAGGCTGTCTTTTCCCTCATCGGTTCATGTGAAGTACGCGGCCTTTGACCCAGTAAGTTCGGCTGATTGTTTCTTTTCTTATTCTGTTTTTTTATTCAATCGGCTGAAATAAACAAATAGCTATCTAGAGGGAGCATATGATTTCAATTCTTTTTCTCTCTGACAACACGTTTTTACCCGTCCGAAGTTTTTGCTGTGTTGGGGCAAGTGTAATACGCCTTTTCTAGAAATAATCCATCCCACCCCATGACACAAAGCAAAGGTTTGCTTCAGAGGTTGATTTTGCTCGTTGGCCACATTTTACAGCAGGTTCTGTTTTAAAGAAATGGTTCAGCGTCTCAAACTATTGCAGGTATCTTCCCATTAAGTTTAAGCTCTCAAATATCATAATAGAACTACCATAAAAAATACCAGTTGTTCTTCATTTTGGCCACAAGTGACCGTTTCGTGACTATTTCACCGCCCTTTGAGCGTTGCGTGACGAGAGAAAAACATAGCTGGCATTCCAATATTTAGTTCTACTGACAAAAGACCCTAGTCTTAACACACTAAGCATAAAAGAAATTACAATCTTCCTAAAACTTGCGTCTAAGGGCCTATTTACATGGAGGTGGGGGACCCCAGGTAGGTGAGGTAACCCGCTTAGGTGGGGTAACTCGGCTGTCCATATAATCTCTCATTTAATTTGATCACGTTTACATGATAGGTGGGGTGACCCGCCAAGGCGGGTAGCCCGGTCTGCCAGACCGGGTAACCCTCTCAGCCGGGATCAAATTTTGCCATGTAAACGTTTCAAGGTGGGGTAACCCGCCCAGCCGGGGTCGGATTCGGGATACATCAAATTCGCGCAAAATTCATTTTGGCGGTGGCTTGGCATTACTAAAGGTAACAATAGAATTAGAGAGCCCATCTGGAGAGCCACAGCACTGAAGGTTGAAGCAAGATCAGCAAGTGAGTGTAGAAGAGTATTAATCGCCAAAAAACGTGGTTTGCTAGCCTGGGAACGGCAGACGTTTCTCCTCGCTCATCGCCTTTGAGGGACGTTTCGCGACGATGAGCGAGGAGAAACGTCTACCGTTCGCGGGCTAGTGGTTTGCCAGCATTTTTTCTTGTTTACGTGCTTAGCGACCATTCAATAATCTTAAGAAAGTGCACCCCGGGATGGCGTGGTTGTAAGATTACATGTAAAGGAGGGTTATTTTTTTATCCCCCCTAAGCGGGTTACCTCACCTATCTGGGGTCCCCCACCTCCTTGTAAACAGGCCCTAAACATACATGTTCATAGAAATACCTTTGCCTTTTTTTCCGATTTCTTTTGACTAAAAACCAATAAACTATAACTCATCAACAAAGAACTTTTCGGTTGGAGAGAAGCGACGACCGGAAATACGTCTGTTTCCGCGGGGTGGAGACTACTGGACCTGCTTTTCCTCTTCTTTTTACGAACTGACGCATACCATATTTTCCATATTTGGACCCCTGTTCTACACGTGAAAGGAACGCAGCACTTCACGCAACAGGTCACGCTTCATCTCTCATGTCATATAGCCGATGGCAAATTTGTGTTTTTGTTGTTATTTTGTGTTTTGTTTTTTTGGAAAATTTCCTTTGTCTAAAAACAGAAGTATATAACTCTGAAGTGTATAGAGGTATAGCGCGGTTCAAGCGAAGTTTTTATGGAGAACCAATCAAAATTTCCTTCCAATATCGGAATTACTGATACGCGAGGGTCGAGACTGTCGCGCGAGTGCTTAGGAAAACCTTAAACGGTATCGCGTTATCCTCCTGGCGGTATAGTAAAGGGCAGTTTTTACGAAGTAAAATTCGACCAGAATCGGAATATTAGGGACTTTAAGAACGGTGACCGAACGTAATTTTTTTTTTCGCTACCAGTCAATGCCTCACGTCAGGGAGTTTAAGATAACGTCGCTTAAAAGTGTATTTGCGTTCTTTTATTCTTTATCGTGATTATTCCAACTCGCTTACTTTGTCAAATGTTGGCGAACTCTCCTGAGGTTGAAGCCGTGCAGTGACCCCCCACGGCACTAGGGAAATGTTAAGAAAAACATTCGTAAATTAAAAAAAGGGTGATGCATTGGCAAATTCAGGGCTTGCTTGTCTTCACACCACTTGGTGAGTTGGCTGTAATTTTCACTTGGTTGTCGTGCTTGACACCGAAATTTGGGGCTTGTAATCGAAAAATGAGCCTTCAGAAAGTTCCAAGGATGACCAAAAAAGGATAAAATGCGTTTATCTTGCGATTCTGTTTCAAATATAGACTAGCGCTCTAAGCATGTAAAATACAACGTACTAAATACTTAACGTACAAGACACTACGGCCAGCCATGATCCTGATGATCTTCTACGTATTCAGGAAGCGTAGTACGGCCAGACGATAAGTTTAGTTAGCAAATCAACAACTTTGCACGTCCATCTTATTCTTTCATCAACATTTCTTTGCGGCTATCACTGCACGACCACGACGTCAAAATGCCTAATTTCACGTTTTATTGAGGACTTAAACAAACCAAGACGAACTTTTTTCGTCTATGAGTTTGCCTACATTTGACCAACCTCGTCCCCAGGGCTTTTCCCTTAAAAAAATGGGTAGGGCGGGAAAAGGCCCTGGCATCGGCTGGTCACGTGTACAGCCTAAATATTCCTGAGAAGCTAATTTATATGCAACCCGCTGGCTTTGCGCTGACAGAAGTCGAACGGAGCAACAATGGAAAATAATAACATCGCGAACCATGTTAATATTTTCGCGTGTGTGCGCAGTTCAAAAGCTTAAGATCCATTTATTTGCTTATTATTCAAATGTTACAAAGCTCTACGTTATCAGGTACAAAATATGTCAAATACTTCAGAGTTGAGACAAGCTGTTATCGAGAGTGGTACTTCAGAAATTCATCGTGACTGTGGAATTACTGTACAATCAAGCGGAAAGTGATTTTGTCCATGTCAAACAAAAATGCGGGCCTTTGCCACCAGGATCTGCAGTGAATTTAACAAATTGAACCGTAATAGAAACAGAATTGTTCATCAAAATGCTTTATGGAGACTATGGAGTCTGGTCTTCTCTACAACCCGACCATGAAACAAACAAATCTCCCCACCGGATAAGTCAGCCCTCCAGCCAGGAACGATGACAGGTCGCCGATCTGAAACATTTTAAGACCTCTTATATATCTTTTCTCTTCCGAGGATAAGTACAAAGGATTTTCCTTATATCAAAGAGAAGATTGACCGATCGACTGGAATCAACTGCAGCTCTGTGAATTTTAAATGGACCCAAGTTTTTCTTTGTTGCCAGTCGTTTGATCGCAGAGGTCAATCAATTTTTTAAAAATACAGGTCATACAAGATAAGTCTAAACCAACGCGTGTCGCTATGATATGGCTGAGAGTTAAGGTAAATAGAACTAGGCTGTGTACGGCGGTCCACTTCGCGAGAAATGAAATAAAATATCAGAAGAGTCGCGAAAACGAACTTTTCCAGTACAAACTTTATGCCTGTACGATAGCTTGTTTGTCATTTATATGTACTTATATCGCTCTATAAACGTTGTTATAAGTGTTACTCGCTGTCCCCTTCATAGAAATCGGAGGAAAGCAAAAAAATACCATAGCCAGTATCTGTGACGAAACGGAAATCTTGTAAAACTTTTCGTTAATCGTCAAGAGATATAAAAGGCCGCCCAAGATCGCGCGCTGTGAGGTTACGCATAATTTTAGCTTTTCACATAGCGCTAATTTATTACACCCAGGATTTTAGGGTGTACGAGGGGACACGTGACCAGCCGATGCCAGGGCCTTTTCCCGCCCCACCCATTTTTTTAAGGGAAAAGCCCTGGGGACGAGGTTGACATTTGACAAAATAAGCGACTTGTAATTATCGCGAAAAAGTTTAAGGGAATGTGAATTGACTTTTTATTGAAAAGCGACGTTTTGACCGCTGTCACTGTCGTGGTACTTGAGGCATTCACGCGTGGCGGGAAAAAAATACTTTCGGCCCTTTCGTAGTCGTTGCTATAAGTCCCTATTATTCCAAATTGACCGGTTTGACTTCCTCCGGGCAAGATAATGTCAGTTAATCATGATAAGCTTAAGTTATTGACGAAATCTAGCGCGTGCTTCAAATTCTATGCGTGTGAATTACTCAACTTGTTTTGCTTTTTCTCTCATGGGAGTGTTCTTAGGGCTTCGTCACGCGTTCGTTGTCACGGAGTATTGCGTGACGAGCCAAAAGAAGGCCTGCGTAGTAGGCTAGTCTTGTAGTTTTCAAAGGTTGATATCTTAATGTAGAGAAAAAAAGTGAAAAGGCCGTTTAGAATGACATAAAAAATGTTTTAAATCTCCTTGCCAAGCAAAGTCACTAACAAAGTGCTTATTTTAATCCTTTTCCTCTTATAGTTGCCATGAGTCAAGGATCACATATCGGCTTCACCGTGTTCGGCCTTGGACGCGCGGGCATGATCCATGCCAATAATATAATAAGAAACCCGCAAGTGAGGTTGAAGTACATTGTGGATATTGACGAAGACAAAGCCAAGGAGTTCGTGGAATCGAATCTGTTGGACACCAAAGTTGTCCCTCCGTCCGATATGGAGACTGCCTTGAGTGACCCAAGTGTTAATGCCGCGGTGATAACCACTCCGACACATCTTCATGAAAAACTGATTGTAAGCTGTTTGAAGGCTGGAAAAGCTGTGCTTTGTGAGAAACCAATTGCTACTACCATGGAAGCTATAGGTTAGTATTTCCGCACAGTATCAGAAAAAAAGGTGTGGTCTGCAAGAGACTTGCCTCGCCCCCTTATATCTCACCTGTTCTCTCATTCATTTTCAGAACGCTGTTACCAAGATGCAGAAAACCGTAACATTCCATTGTTTTGTGCTTTTAACCGACGATTCGATCCGACGATCGCCTCCGTGGCCAACAGCGTGAGAAAAGGCGACATTGGTAAAGTTCACATAATCAAGACCACAAGTCGCGACGGCCACCCGCCTTCCGCAGAATACATAAAGATTTCAGGAGGGATGTTTTACGACTCCTGTATACATGACGTCGATCTAATCTGTTGGATCATGGGGGAGACTCCTCTTTCAGTTTACTGTGTGGCGCATGCCTTCAATTCGGAAATAGGAGCCCTCAATGATGTTGATACCTTGGGTGTGGTCATGAAATTTCCCAGCGGTGCTATTGGTCAGATCGATATGTCGCGCCATGCGGTGTATGGCTATGACCAACGCGTTGAAGTATTTGGTTCAGGTGGTATGCTTAGTAGCGACAATGTTTCAGCTTTTTCATCTCATCTTTATAACTCTAGGGGATGCTCCGAGCCTCCATTAAAGGAGTCATTTCCTCAGAGATATGCCGAGTCGTATAATCTGGAGATGCACCATTTTATTAATACAATAAAAAAGAAGGAGATGTTAAGTGTTTCTAAAGGTGATGTGCTCCGCTCATGCCATGTAGTTGAAGCCATTGAGAAGTCTTTCCGTAGCGGTAACCCAGTCTCTTTGAGCCCATAGTTAATAGTCAGAACAGCTTATTGCTACGTTTCACATTTGAAGCTTATGTTTTGTGGGTTGTCATGTGAGATGCAACCCCTCACTCAGAATCCTCTAGGTTTTTGGTCAGCGAGATTACTTCAGCCAAGGAAAACTACAGTATTTATGACATTTATCGGCCACGAACATTTTGATTTGCTCCGCGCAGAAAATAATGCATACGAAACAAAACGTTTGAATCGCAGAGCCCGGAGACACTCCATTTGCCTCTCGATCTTCCTGGAAACTAATAAATATTAACTCTCGTTGAGGAAATAGTGTTCCTTTTATTCATGGCTTTCTCGGCGAGGAATGTCATTTTCACTTCACTATTTAAGGGCTCTACTGATTGTCCATATATCTAGGGTTTCGCCACTAATTTGGGTAACAAATTTGAATGTATCTTTATCCGGGACACCCAACGATGATATAGTTCAAAACCACTTAAAAATAGCATTGTTGAACGTATAATAGTATTTAAACCGTGCGGTAGATTTAGTCATATTTTTATCCCCTAAAAATTTTTCATCTGTTCGGATTTCCTAGCTGAAAGTCTAGTGATCCGAAAATTATAGGGATCAAAACTTACCTTTTCGAAAATTTCAGCCAGAAAAAAGGGTCCCGACAATTCTAGGTGACCTTTTTTTAGGTAAAAATCCGTTAAAAATGGGCAATTATACCATTTTGTTAGATGTTCGAAAATCCTAGGAGGAGCAGGCAAGCAAGATATTTTACAACAAATGTTCCGAAAATTCTAGATCTCAAATCGTCTTCGGAATAGATATTTTCCGAAAATTGACGTTGGGTGCCCCTGCTTTAGGGCTTGCTTAGTTCATTTGTGCAAACATTTGTGGCATTTGCTTTCCCGTCTAATTCATTGTCGAGTGTTATTTGTCCATTTTCATTAACTGAAGTGTTGAAACTTATAAGTTATTAATTATGTAATAAAAAATAAACAACGCACTTTACTTTGAGTGTAAACGTCTTTTTAAAGTACGAAAGAACTAATTGAGGGCACTATCTTTGGGTCTCCTAGTGGAGACGGAACCGTCATTTTACGTGGTAATCTGAAAACTTCCACGCGAAGGTTAAGCCGTTGGGCAAAGTAAGTACCTTCATTTCTTAGTTGTTTTAAGACCCTAAGTATTGGTCCGGCCTTCGGGATTCGAAGCTTCGACTGTCAGCTGAGAAATGAATCCATCCATTATTCACTCTGATAGTGAAGCAGTTAATGAAATGACTGAACTCAAAGATCAATACAACAGAGTCTGGAGCTGTGTCAATCACTGCTGTTCTTGAGAGAAACGTACTACAGCGTGTGGGTGGGGAGCGTTGTGTGACTACAGATGGACGTGACACTCAATCGATAACCAAGCAATCGAGCATGTGTTTCTTGAATGAATAGTGATTCTTGATTACCCAGGCCATCAAGCCAGAGCGTATGCCAGTAACATTCACACAAAAGAAAAATTGAATCTCCAAAAGTCACTTTTCACTATGGCAACCTTATCGGGACGCGCGCGGATCTTTCATAGCGGTAAACATCTGATACTTGTACCTTCTTCATAACATTTCCATGCGTCGTTTTGTTATACAACTGACATGTTTGGTTAACGTTGTTGTAGTCAAACGACAAACACTGTTCTCCTTTAACGGAGCTTGTACACAGTTGCATACACTGCAGGGAACTTTCAACGGAGTCCTCTGCTGCAATCACGTACGAGTTAATAGTAGCGCTGACAATCTTTTTAGAAATGTACGCGACGTTACTCAGGGTGTCGACAAAATCTGCTGAAGCAACAGTAAGAAAAAAAACAAAGTAGTACTTCGACTCCAACTAATGTTCTATCAACTTTAACTTTGACATGGTGACCACGTCGTTTTATATTGCCGATTTACACCTACCTGGTGTGTCTTTTGTGAAGCAGTACTGTCCTGGAAAGGGTGGATTAATTTCCTTTAGCTTGTACACAAAGAAGTCCGAGCATTTCTTTACTTGTATTGGTAATGAATAAAAGCAGCAGTTTTCACGGAAGTTGAAACAAGCTTGAGCAGAATTGATCCCAGACTCTCTGGAAGGACTCATTCCATTCAACCAGCCAGAAGCCTGGGTACCACACCACTCTGGTCGTACGCAAGACGTGAGCATTGCAGAGCCTCGATCGGCCTTGAACCACCGTTCTTCGTTAAATGGCTGGCCATAATTTATGGGAAACACGCTCCAACGTTTCCACTGGCTTTCAGTTTTGTCATCAGTGAGATCCAACTTGGAGCAAAGGAAACTAGCTTCTGAAAATTAAAGTTATAAAGGATAGATTGCGAAAAGTACGCGAGCTAACAGGAGAGGCCAGTGTCAGCGTACGAGTTGGGAAGAGACAAAATTATAGCAACACAACAACAACCTTAAACTTTGTTTCAGAAATACTACACATAACATGTTACTAGAGGTTTAGTTAGCGTACTTTTGTTATAAATAAATAAGTGAAGTAAGTAAACAAATCAGTAAATCAATAAACAAAACAAAAATCTTTCAGGTAGTAAACTAGTTAACATTAACGAGTAGAAATGTAACATTAGTAATTTTTATTTCTTACGGTCATGCTATCTCAACCGGGGCCACCATTGACTTGTCAGCCAATCAAATGTGTTCCGATACCCTCTCCCTTAATATATAAGAACATGTTTTATTTATCAGGCTGAACTGGTTCTTATATACAGCTATTTCGAGAAAGGTTGTCGGAAAAACTGTGCACGCGACAATCCCGAAAGGCAAAATGGGATTCGATCAATTCACTGTTCCTGACACTGTAGCTGTCGAACCTACTTTTGTTACTTTCCTTTAGCGCTCTCAACTATATGTCCATGGCCTCTCCTGCCATTCTTTCAAATTTCTTTGAAGAACAGTGAACTCAAAACCACCCACAATACCTTTCGGGATTGCCGCGTGCAAGTTTTCCGGCAACCTTTCTCGAAATAGCTGTATATGGTACCTTATGGGCCAAATTTCAGCCTGATCAGTTCTTAATCCATTTGTTTTTATATGCGGGTGTTTACTGTATTTCCGGTCGTCGCTTCTCTCTGTGTTCGCAGGCTAGCGAATTTCGCTTTAAAATTCTGTCTTGGGTAGATTTGTGTCTCTAAACTGGTGCTTTGTACGTAAAACTTCTTGGAGATGGATGATCGCGTCAGTGTTGTTGGAGGTTTTTTCAGCTTCTGATTTAAGAAGAAAAAAATATACAAGAGATACAGAGAGGCTCTACTACGTACCTTCAACCGTCAGAGTCACCATGTAGGAAGCTTGTATTAATCCAGAACTATTTATAACCTCACACTTGTAAACTCCTGCGTCGCCTTGTTGAATTGAGTTGATGAGCAAGCTCGTGCCATATCCAGCGGTTTTTGTTTGAAGTATGGCTCCTTCTTTACTCCAACGCACTGTTTTGCCTTCAAGAGCATCACATTTCAGCTCCACAGTTTCTCCCAGGTGAGCAGTTTGGTTGGAACTCGATCGCCCTTTGCAGAAAGGTGTAATAATAACGTTAAACAGGGGCGGATCTAGGGGGAGGGTGCAGGGGGTGCGCACCCCCCCTCCCGAGATGACCTGCGGTTTTCTAAGACAACTGGTATTCTGCAAAAAAAATCTATGTGGTTTATTGGTGTTGAAGTAGAGCAAGAGACGAGTGCACCCCCTCCTAAAAAAAATCCTGGATCCGCCCCTGTTAAAAATTGCTTGACCTTTGAACATTGGGTTAATTTTTCCTGAGTATGTGCCGCCGGTGATGAAGATGGTCATGATGATGATAATGATGATGATAGTGATGATAGTACAGGTGACGTGATGATGATAATGATGATGGTGATGACATGACAAGGGATAGCAAACTAAGATTGTGAATGCTGTAACTACGTTGTCTTAATTAAGGCCGACTGACTTCATAACCTCTCTCTCCATTAACAGACACTGAGATTGAATCAATTTGAAATGGTTTGAATAAATTTTCATCTTTATCAATATCGTCGTCTATTGTGATCGCAACCACGTAATTGTTTTGGTAAGGTTAGTAAGGCTCATACCTATTGCAGAACAAAGATTTTTAGCTTCGTCAATTTCTTGCTCTGTGAGAACACGATCGTAAAGCTGAACGCAGGAAATCCTTCCTTTGAAATTTTCTGAATTTCCTGAAAAAGCTCCCATGATTACATTTAGTTGAGTCGATATCTCAACAGGCTCCTCTATCCACTTCCCATTCTCTTTACTTCCATTTATCCAAATTCTTAATTCACCGCTTGTGAAATTGAACGTGGTACCAACGAAGTGCCATGTTCTTGGCTCTAGAATTTTGCTGGTCGTCATTTTTATGCTTGTAAAGTTGTCACTTCTTCGAAGGATAGTGCAAAAACGGTCATTGTCGTTGATCGAGAAACGTACCCCAAACCCAAAATCTTGTTGAGCGAAATAAAAAATCGATCCTTTCTCTTGTTCATGATAAATCCAGGCCAAGAAAGTCATTGAATATCTTGTATCCAGGCCTCCATTATTCGGAAACTCGATGAAGCTGTTGTCGTTTCCCGAAAATTGGTACGAGCCTCCAGTACCACCGTCAGGACCTGGGGCCAGCTGCACGTCACCTGGTATTCCAGGGGGATTGGAACTGAGGCTAATATCTGTTGTTTCATATTGTCCATTTAGAGGAAAAAATGCCGTGGGTCTGAAGGGAACTGTGGTATGAAAGTATTCAGAGATTTAGGACGACATACACCAAGAGTAATGTAAAATCAATTAGTGTCTCATAACTTCAACCCTTTACTTGCAAACTTTTATTTCTACAATCTATTCATAAAATTCACTTGAGTATGAGCTTATTTTGTTATTGTTTTCAGAAAATTAAGGAAAGATTTAGTCGTCGCTTACTGGAGTGATGCGCTATCAAAACCATTTGGCAATCAAATGACAGCTAATTACAGTACACTGAGGGTTCTTTTTATCTATCAGTTTAAAAAATTTGTGTTTAAATGTAACTTGTTTTTCTGTGTAGAAAGGGGGAGGGGAAACGGTGGTAAGGTCAAAACACATTCGGACCACTGATAGTTTCATTATTCACTACACAAGCCAATTCGTAAGCCTGTTCTTCTCTCTATAATTTCATCCCACCATTCTTTGTCTCCAGTGAATTGTAAAAATGATGATAGAAGCATATACAAAGACGCTTTATTTTATTGCAGATTTCTCTGAATGCCACGACTGAGCACACTAAAGTTGGTAATGCGGACGCAGCATGAGGGAGGAGGGGGTGTGGGCATGAATGTATGTGATATGTGAAAGTAGTCATGCGGTGCTAACCTTTTTTCCTGCAAATTCCTTTGGCAGCATGAACTTCATTTTCTGTCAAAGATTTGTTATACACTTGCATGCAACATATTCTTCCCTTAAAAAATCTATTATCTCCAGATTTCACACCCATTCTGGCGGCTCCCATGGTATCTATCTCCATTGAACCAATATCTTGTCTGTCATATACTCTGCCATCGATCCAGAGTTTATGCACCCCAGAGTCATAATCATATGACGTACCAACAAAATACCACTTGTTACGTGACCATGTTTTGCTTGTAAAAGCTGGTTGCGAAACACCTTCTCTTGATACAATGCGAGCAAACAGCTTATCTATAGTGATCCAGAAGTGAACGGCCCAGCTACTACCTTTATAATAATTCCAGATCGGACCGTCACCATTTTCAGGATACACCCAAGCAAGAAGTGTTAGTGACTTTCTCGTGTCCAATCCTCCATTGTTTGGAAACTCGATGTAGCTGAATGAATTCCCAGAGAACTGATACGAGCCATCTGGCTCGCCATAAGGACCTGGAGCGAGCTGAACATCAGAGGCAATGCCTGCTGAATTTTGACTGGAGCTCAAGTCGTGGGTACCGAATTTTCCGTTCAGT